CTTTGATTTTCGAATTCATCTTAACTCTTATTATTTGTCTTTTTTACTCCGTAAGATCCGTCTGCTATATTCCTTATTCACGTATTTCACTCGAACCCTGCCAACCCATCTGTGCTACTCGAGGCGTTATTCGCCCTCCCTTTTGTCTGGGTGACTAATTTGAGGCTAAAGTCTCCAAGTAAGTCTAATCGTCAAGTCTTTGCCATATCGACCACGTCTATGGTAGAACCTACCGTCAGCCAACTAGATCAAATCTCCGCCGCGTCTATCCTGTTTCTATCCGTAATACCAAATGTATGACTTGCTATGCCTAGTCTCTTCTGTGCTAACCCACAAATGTTGTGGTACTGCTTGCTTTGATTAGGTTCCATGTTGAACCGCAACATTTGTGGATTTGAACACAAGAGATTAAGGCATAGCAAGTCATAGACTTGGTATTACGGATATAAATAGGATAGACACGGCGGAGAGTATATCTAGTTGGCTGACAGTAGGTTTTACCATAGATGTGGTCCATTTTGCAAAGACTTGACGATGAGACTTCCTCAGAGGCTTTAGCCTCGAATTAGTTACCCACACGCAGGGGAGGGCGAATAACGCCTCGAGTAGCACAGATGGGGTAACAGGGGTCGAGTGAAATACTTGAACCAGGGCGATGGCAGACGGTTTCTACGAAGCAAGAGGGAGACTCTGATAAGACCTAGGGAAAGAGGACGGCGTAACAATAGGACAGCCTCTGATCGACATTCATAGCACAAGGGTGAAGGCTGGCGAAGGGGTGAGAACGCCAGCTTGAAGTGTGGAGGGTTCTCTTGAAAGCCGCTCAAAAGGGCACACCACACTACATTTATATAAGCAATGAAAAATTGTGATACAGGATATAGGAGAGGTGGATAGCCCATGACAGAAGGAGAGATACCACAACTGTAGCAAACATTTGGTCAAAGGGGCGGCTTCACTTGTCTCTTTGACGAGTTGTAGTATGGTGCTAAGACTGGCAAGACTCGCTGACGATGCCGGCGATACGTCTGGGAATGTACCACGTCCACGGTCCGACTTTGGAAATTATCATGCATATAATGGACTCTGGACTAGGTGCGTTCCTCTAAGTTTTCCTACTAATATGATCAAGTTGCGAAAACAAGGTCAAACAAACTCTATACAACGAAAGGAGACTGCGACCACACAAAAGGCCACACCATCTTGCTCTTCATACATTCCATCGATATGTATGCTTGATTATAAATATACTTTAATTAAATCATAGGTATAATCAGAGATGTTTATTTTCGATGTAAGTAGGCTCTGAGACTATGAATTGCTAATGAAGGTGTTTTTTTAACGTCATTCGAGTTCTTGGCCATTAATTAAATCAATACTTGGAATTAATAATTTCTCCGAAGGATTTTCTGCCAGTTATCTTTTTGAAGTTTAAGGCAATTAAATCTTATTTGGTTATACATTTCAAGAGATTGTATTTTAAATTCGCGCGACATTTCTATCGCATTCAAATTTTAATTTGCCATTTGTGTAGATACCAAAGGGAAAATACATACGAAATTGACTAAAATTCATGCAATTTTGACCTATTTATTTAATTCTTTTTTTATCGTTATCCGGTACTCCATGCATGGCGTGCACGCCGCTTTTAGGATAGTCCATGATACTTATATTCTAGGATAGTTACATTTGTTCCGACTAGGGCTGAGCAATGTCAATGGTGTGACTCACTAGTTTTAGCTAAATCATATTAACTGCTTTCCAGATTATTTAAATGTCTTAGTTTATAAGAACCCTAAACATTTGTGGGTTGGCATACAAGAGAGTAAGGCATGGGAATTAATAGACTTGGTATTAGGCATATAAACAGGACAGATGTGGCGGAGACTAGAGCTAGTTGCTGTTTTCCTACCAATATGACTAAGTTGCGAAAATAAGCTTAAACAACCTCTATACCACGAAAGAAGACTGCGGCCACACAAAAGGCCACACCATCTTGGTCTTCATACCTTCGATTAAATATATATTGATTTTTCGGATAATATGGGAGTAAAGCTTAAGTCTTACTTAGGTAAAAGTGAAGATAAATATGATTTCACTACTATATTAGCTTTATATATTTATTACTCATGCCGTATACGCTTTTTGATCCTAGTTATTTCATATTAGTAACGTTTTATCGCCATCCCTCTACTTTCAATTTTACTGCCTTCCTTATGCGATAGATACGAACCCTTCCTGACAACCATTTTAGATGCTTATCAATATAGAAATTGTTTTAAATTCTTTTCCAGTTCTGATGGTTATCCAAGTACCCGTTAGGCCATCTGGTCGTCTTCGCCTTGCGATGTCTGAACATGCAATGCAGCAAGGTTATTCTGGAGATAAGTTTGAGCACTATATAGACACATCTTTTGAATTCTTCCGAACTTATCTTTTTGAATTTCTCTACAATCTATATTCCACTACATATGGACACCAACAAATCATTTCTATCGAAAAACTGTCTCATGAATCATTATCTCCCAGTTTTTCATCAATAAATAAGGTAAGACTTATGTTGCACTAAATATTTTATTTCTGTAACTTATTTTTAATCAGGGCCATTTTTGTTCTTTATTTCTTTAGATTGCAATCTATCTTCCCCTTTGGGACTATTTTAATTTATAATCTAAATAGCCCTGGTGAAATTTGCTTACTTTTAGCTCATTACATTTATTTCTTCTCCATATTGTTTTGTGGATATTTTAGCCTTTATTTTCGCCTTCAGGTAATTTACCGGTTATTGCATAAATATTACTCATACGAATCGTTAGGGCAGAAACTATAGTAATATATCTTGTGAAATATGCCTAGTTCTGCATCCTCTTCCATAGTATTCTTGACGATTTCTAGTTTCGTATTGTTGACTTAGTACATTCTCAGACGTTTCGCCGACATCATCAAATACACTATCTATAACACAGAGTTACGACTTATCAAAGTGACAAGTGATAAAATGTAACTTTGTTAAAAATGGCGCCTCTCAATAACGATGTCGGCAAGACGTTTGGTAATGTACAAAGTCAACGATCTGACGCTGGAACTCATCATGAATACTATGCCAGAGGGTACAGGACTAAATACGCTCCACAAGGTCTCTGTCGCTCCGACGAGGTTGCGAAAGCAAGTTCAAACCAACGCTATGCAGCTTAATAAGACTGCGACTAAACAACAGGCCACACTATCTTGGTCTTCATATCTACGATATAGCAATATATTTTTTTGCATGACTGGGCTTAATTTAATTCGAAAGTTGAGAAATGAATCGTAGGCTGGTATCACGACGAAAATATGGTAGATTTCCCTTAACAGGCTAGAACGATTGGATTGCCCATGAATTTTCAGTATCAGCCTTGCAAATTTTACTCTTGTGTAGTGAACGCGTTTTTACGCAGCTCATGGAGCGTAGTTAATATCAATGATGGCTAGGTCTATGTTCCGAATATTACACAATTTTCCGAGGGAATGAACAAAGCCATTCTGCTTAGTTGTCCATGCCTCAATCAAGAAATTTACTATCCCACTTTGACACATGACTGCCGAAAGCATTGATCGATAATATTTAGCATGCTACATTTAAGTGTAAGATCTACGCAGGTTAGGCGCTCTACAACTGGTACTCAAAGAAGTAGGGAAGTGAAATTGGGTGAAATTGTTCAGTTTATTAAACTGATGAAAAAAGTTATTATTTCCCTTAGCTCTTGGCTGGGCTAACCAGATGCATTTAATTGAATGCCTTTTGAAGATTTCCCTTCGCCAAAAACATCATTTTTAATAGTTTGGCAGGCCCCGGCTCATGTGAAACAGAGAATAGATGTCTTCCTTTATTCGAAAGTAACAAACGCCTTCAATACAAACTGTTTACCAACTCCAAAGCTATTTTTGTGTACAAATTATCATTGGTTGGTGTTGTTATGAAAACTGGGTTTCGGAGAATTCCTTAATGATATATTCTCACACGATTTTCTATTTCGAAGGGTAAGTTGGTTGCAAGGAATTCGTGTCGTGGTCTCACCGAAAACCGAAGAAGGATTAGTGTGTAGTGAAGACTGTTGTATCATGCAAAGAAGTCTTCGGCTCATAGTCCTGCGACCACAAAAAGCCTGTACTGAGCCTTCTTCTATATTGGGACAGACATCAGAGCAAGAATCCATACTCTACCAAATAGAGTAAAAATATACTAAATCAAGAGAAAAAGTGGTCGGCTGCAACACTAGCTGCTTTTTTATACACCTAACCTTGCGATTTGGCCTTGTTTTCGCAACTTGGTAATACTGGTAGAAAGACTTAGCGGAACGCACCTAGTCCGGAGTCCCTAGTATGCATAATAATTTCTAGAGCCGTAACGTGGACCTGGTACATTCCCAGACGTTTCGCCAGCATCGTAGTCGGCATGGTCAGTGAGCTTTGCCAGTTTTGGCACCACGCTACAACTTGTCAAAGAGGCAAATGAGGCGGATCCTTTGACCAATTGCCTGCTAAATATTCGTGGTATCTCTCCTTCCGCCCTGGGTCAAACACCAATCCGATATCCTTGTATCACCTCTTCACTATCACAATTTTTTTTCTTTTGCTTATTTAAATGTGGCATGATGTGCTCTTTTAAGCGGATTTTATGAGAACTTCGCATCTCACGCTGACCTTCTCACCCCTTCACCAGCCTTCGCCCTTGTGCTGGGAATGTTGATCAAAGTCTCCCTCTTGCCTCGTAGGATCCGTCTGCTATCTTCCTGGTTCAATTATTTCACTCCACCCCTACCACCATATCTGTGCTACTCGAGGCGTTATTTCCTATACTTCGTCGGGGAGACTAACTTAAGGCTAAAGACCCCGAGTAATTTTCATGGCCAAGCCTTTGCTTCATGGACTACGCCTATAATCAAGCACCTTTATTGTTAGCCAACTACCTCTAATCTCCACTACATCTATGGCGCTTGTATCCATAATACCAAGTATATGACTTCCTATGCTCTAGTCTCTTGTGTATACCACCCCACAAAGGTTGTGGTTCTACATTGAACCGAATCAAAACAGGTGTAATGTGGGAATGTACCACGTCCACGATCCGACTGGAAATTATCATGTATACGATGGACTCCGGGCTAGGTGCGTTCCTCTAAGTCTTCCTAGCAATATGTCCAAGTTGCGAAAACAAGGTCAAACAACGTATATACAACGAAAGGAGACTGCGACCACACAAAAGGCCATACCATCTTGGTCTTCATATCTTCAATTAAACTAGTGGGTAATTGTTTTGAAATAGAACAATGTATAGGGAGAAATTAACACTAATAATTTCTTCGTTTACGGAAGTTTCTGACCTTTCTACATCAGGTTTCTACAAGGTTTTGTGTTCATGTGTTGAGGTCAATGTGGAGTAGACCTGTCGACCCATCCAGAAGAGACTATGCTGACACAAAACTGCTTGGAAAGGTCTATGAGTCGAAAAATCTGTGCCTGCTGAACACAATGTCAATATAAGAAACTCACTGGACTTGTCCCAAAAATCTTTTACGGCTCACGGGGACTTTACATTAAGGTTTAAGATTAGTAAGTCTATAGAAATTAGCGAAACAGCCAACGTCCTGAATAGGATGAACGAGTGTAAAAAACTGTGTAGGGATTATGTGGGGTTGTTGTATAGGCTTAAAGTAGTGCAGATGAAAGCTAAGCACGAGTTCACCGGAGTCGTAGGACAGTGAGCCGAGGACTCTTTCGCACAATACATCAGTCTTCCTTACACGGCATTCCTCCGGTTTCCAATTGGATTACATCTCGACTTCTTTGCAATCAACTTTTCTTTCGAGATGGAGATTCATGACGCACTTAATTAATTCTCTTGGGGCGGTCACTGAAACCCACTTTAATTGCCAAATCACGGTTCCTCACATTTTTCTTCTCCAGCTTTCTCAAAACTCTTGTTGGTAAAAGTTTATCTCACACAAAATCCATTTTCATCTTAATTGGCATCCTATTGGCTGATTAACCTAGTTTTATTTTTATTTATCTGCTTATATATATTGTAAATATTGCCATCTTTGCAAGCTTAACGTTGACAAAATGCCATTAAATTTCGTGGGGTGGGGTATATTTTTTTTTAGATATACAAGCGACTAGGGCTTGTTAATATACGCAAACTTTATTAGTTTAATAAAGTTTGTGTAATTTATGTCGACACGTACTAGATTGTGATCAATTTTCTACAAACATATTTTATATCGATTTAAATGCTCGAGGGAGAGCTTTTTCATAATCTTCCCATTTTTACTACAATGAATATTGATTCAGGTCTATTAACATGTATATATTATCACAGATTTTTGACATATTTATTGTGGCTTCATCTTTTTGTTTATACCAGGCTTTGATTACTCAGAGCGTCAGGGAGACCTTGTGCAACGTACCTGGTCCCGTGTCATCTGCCATAGTATTCGTGATTTTCAGTATTGGACCATTGACTTGGTACATTTCTTAATGTTTCGCCGGCATCGTCAATGAGAGGCGTCTACGTAAGCACAGAGTTGCAACTTATCACTTTGGTAAGTTGCAACTCTGTGCTTACGTAGACGCCTCTCATTGGCGATGCCGGCGAAACATTAAGTCAATGGTCCAATACTGAAAATCACGAATACTATGACAGATGACACGGGACCAGGTATGTTATACAAGGCCTCCCTGACGCTCTGATTAATTTGCGAAAACAATGTCGAATCAACACTATAAGGCTGCTACCAGACAGAAGTCCACACCATCTTGGTCTTCATATCTATCATTTAAATACTCAGTTTGCTATCTTTTTTCCGATTATATAAGATTTTTAGAAATTTAGTATAAGGTAACGATGCATTTTGCTACCTCTTCATATATTTGAGAGTTTATTCATCGTACTCCTGCGACTGTACTACTCAAGATGTTTTCATATATTCCTTTTATAAAAGGTTATATATAATATAATAGTAAGACATTGCATTTGATTTTCAACAAGATTATTTTACTTGAAGGTATGAAGACCAAAACGACGTGACCTTTTGTATGGTCGCAATCTCCTTTCGATGTATAGTAGCTTGACCTTGTTTTTGCAACTTGTTCATACTGACATGAAGATATAGAGGAACGGACCTAATTCGGAGTCGATAGTATGCTTGATAATTTCAAATGATAAGGGGATCTATAACCTCAAGTTAGTCTCACATACAATTTTAGAATCCAGACTTTGTGGACTACTCAGCGAGGCTGGAATGTACGTGCCAGTATACGTGCTTGAGGCAAAGTGTGGGAAATGACGCCTTGAGTAGCACAAACACGGTGGCAGTGGTCGAGTGAAATCCCTGAACCAGATAGATAGAAAAAGATCCTATGAGGAAAGAGATCTATGAGAAGAGGATTGCGGACTAATAGCGCGGACTCAGATCAGCATTCCCAGCATAAGGGTTGGGGGGATAGAGTGTAGTGTGCAGAGGTCTCATGAAATCCGCTCAAAGATCTCACCATTCCACATTAAAATAAGCAAGTAAGAAGTAGTGATAGATAAGGGGTGATACGAGGATATAGTATAGGTGAATACCTTAGGACAGGAGAGATACCATACTTGTTTAGCACACAATTTGTCAATAGATCGACTTCAATTGTCTTTTTGACGAGTTGTAGTATGGTAACACGACTGGCAAGGCTCACTGACCATGTCAGCGAAACGTCTGGGAATATACCAACTCCACGATACGACTCTGGAACTTATCATAATACTATGAACTCAGTACTAGGTGTCTCCCTCTAGGTCTTCCTACCAATGTGACCAATTTTCGAAAATTATTTTATTTGGAAACCCCTTTTTAGAGAGTTGCTAGCATTAAGAGAATATTCAGCATCTTACTTTTTTCCAAAATCTTTGCGTTCTGATTATAC